CCCTCTCGGACCAGCTGACGGGAGAGATGGTGCCGTTTATGATCACCATCAGCTTGAGGAGCCCGGCGCTCACGAAGCCCACCAAATCCTGGGCGACTCTCCGGCAATACAAGCTGCAAACTGCTTGGCATGCGGCTCAAACCGGAGCGGGGCAGCAGGCCTACATGAACCTGGATTTCTGCGAGTGGAAGCCCCGCTGGAACCAGTCGAGGCTCGGCCTAGGTCGGCCGTCGCCTCTCAAGGCCGTGCATCAGGCAGCACGGCCCGTGCCTACTCCAGGCACGGCACTTCCTCTTGCTAAGCTTTGCAACCCAGCCGGTATGAACCTCTGCTACGCCAACTCCTGCATGCAGGCTTTATTTTGGTTACGGGAACTTGCTGGCCCGGTGTTGCAGCTTGCATCATCAGCACAGGCGGGACTTTCTGTCCTGCGTCGTAGACAACAGGTTTTAATCACGGATTGCCTTGCCTTTCATGAGCTTTTCCGCACGTGGCCTGACTTGACTTCTCAGCATGATGCAGCATGAGCGCTGGGTTCGTTGTCAGGGCAGAGAGTCGATTCAAGCTGCAAGCTTCGTTGTTGTCCGCTGCCCAGAGCCGAGTCCTTCAACCTTCTGTGCTGCCGGTCCGGAGCCAGGCCCCAGCGGATCTTCGGAACAACCGCGATGTGGTCCTGGCCTGCATCAGCCACGATGCCGCCTGCTTGGCCCATGCGCCAGAGGCGGAAAGCCGTATGCGAGTATATGGAGCATCACAGTTTCGACGGATTTTGAGAAAGGCTGAGGGCTTTTCTGCAAAGCCTGGTGCAGGCCCTGCGCTCGGAGCGATCCTTCCTGCTGGATGCAGTGCAGCGGCATCTCCGAGCCCTGGAGTTCGCCGGGGGCTTTCGGGAGGACACAGAGAGTAGGAAGCGATCTGAGAGGTGATTCAGAAGCGATCTGAGATCCTGGTTCATCTTTTGCTCGGGCCTTCAGTTCAGCTCTGCACCTCAGCTCGAGAGCTCGAAGTCTTCCGAGAAGACCACAGACCCTACAACTCTCGCAGCTCGAAAGCTGCACAATTCGAACTCTGGCAAAACCCGAAGACCCTGCCCCCAGGAGGTTTCTGGCACCTGAGACCACTATAAAGCTCGCGAGGACTGCGACTTCGTCGCGGAGGCAATGAGGCTCCAACCGGCCGTGCTTGGGAATATCTGTGCAGGGGTGATGCAAGCTTTTCGCAGGAGCAGCCAGAGGTTGAGTTTTGGAGCTTTGGGATGTTGTGGGCAACCGTGACGACCGGGCTCAAGCTCTGTCGAGAGGCCGTGCCAAGACTTTGTGGTTCGGCGCTTGTCCTGGATGCGTTGCACACGCACATATGGGTACGGAAATGACCGCCCCTACCTGGTCAGCACCCGGAAATCCTTCCATGCACACACCTGGCTAGATTTCGATCTATTTGGGCCTCCGCCCCGAAGCTGAGGTGCTGGAGTTCGCTGGCGGCCTGCGCAGCGACCGGCAGCTTGCCTTCGAGGCACGGATCGATGCTGCGGCCTGCAGGGAGCCAGCTGCGCATGCGCATGGTACGGGTATGTTTCCGGCGAGGGGGCTTGGTATTGTGAGGTGCAGACAGCTGCGTAGGTGGCTAGAGCTAGAGCGCTTGCAATTTCTGCATTGCAGGCTGTGCAGCACGCGCCTTGGGCGCTGGACTTGCTCGATGCCCAGCTCCAACACGACCCGGCGTTGGCCTTCCACGCCGTGCAGGCGCGAAACAGCGAAGGAGGGGGAAGGAGGCTTTTGGGACTCAGGTCGGATTTTAGCCGATGCGCCGGGAACAGAGTTCGAAGACTCAGTTTGCAATGCCGGCTTCCGAGGCCTTGGCACGATGCGGCACTCGGGATGTGGACTTCGCCCAGATGTCCGAGGTGCGCAGCGTCAAGCACGACTCGAAGGTGTGCTGCGCCTGCGCCACGGGAGCGAGCAACATGGTGGTGGGCTGCGGCGATGGCAGCGTCCTTCTCCACGACCTCGATGGGACCGATGAGTCTGCCTCGAAGCTGCTCGGGCACCAGAAGGCTGTGTGCTGCCTGTGCCTGCTGTCCGAGGAGGTCCTGGCCAGCGGGTCCGACGACACGACCATCCGAATATGGAATCTCCGCAGCAAGGAGGCCCTGCAAGTGCTCAGCGGACACATGGGCTGGGTGCAGGGCCTGGCACGGCTCAGTGACACTCAGCTCGCGAGCGCAAGTGGTGACAAGACCATCTGCTTGTGGAACCTCTCGACGCCAGAAGACGGCGGCCGAGTGCTCCAAGGCCACAGCGACTATGTGCGCTGCCTGTGCCGCAGCACCGCCGGGAGCCTGGTGAGCGGGAGCGACGACCGGACCCTGCGAGTCTGGGACCCTGACACCGGCGAGGAGCTCCGCGAGCTGCGTGGCCACACAGACTCTGTCCGCTGCCTCTGCCAGGCCTCTCCCGACCTCCTGGCCAGTGGCAGCGACGACAGAACCATGCGCCTCTGGGACCTCACCAGCTGGACGACCGTGCGGGTCCTCGAAGGCCTCGCAGGCTGGGTCTACTCGCTGTGCCTGCTGGCATCCAACCACCTTGCAGCTGCCGACGCGGAGGGCAGACTCCTCGTCTGGGCGGTGCAAAGCGGCGAGAAGGTCCACGACGTCAAGAGTGCCCACAGCAAACGGATCGAAGCTTTGACGGTTGCGAAGGTGCGGGGAGAGCACGTGCTGTGCAGCGGCAGC